CTGCAAGTGTGCCCGTTCCAAAATTGACAGTCAACTCTTTCAGTTGTATTGCCAATTGCATATGCAGGACATTTTTTGTGAAGATTCCTGTACTGACGCCTGTCGGATATAATCCAACGCCCTTCGTGGTATTAGCCATGGGAGTAGTTGTTTTCTGATAGGCGTCAGTCCATATAGAGACTGGCTGGAACGTTTGAAATTCATTTGCTTCATTGGCAATATTTGTTTCACTCCAAATTATTGTATGACCACCAGTTAATTTTAGAATATGCTACGTTATTCTATCACCTGTCTTCTCTTTATATTTTCACTTTGTTTGTTTTTTCATACATCAAGGGGCCTTAAAATATTACCTATATAACTTCTCCCACAGGAACAAAGTATATCATAAATACATAAAGATTGTGGAAAGATAAATACCCAAAAATTAATAAGAAACACTGTCTCCTCCATAAAAAATGTCTGTCAAATAATACCACCGAATTTGTTTTGTTGTCTCAGCATTAGGTATATTACTGAAACGAAATATTCATCGAGAATAGATATTTTCTTCACGAGTACCACACCTTCTCCTCTTAGACATTGCCAGTAATCATATTATTCATTTTAATGATTGGTTGGACTAATGATGATCACTATGATATGGAGAGAATATTGAATTTTTCATTGTTTTATCCTTTTCAAGAATAAGCAACCTTCAATTTTCATACACGAGATAATGAAAGTTTTGGTTATCAATAGTATAATATATATATATCGTATTCAGTTACATCTGTGTCAACTGCAAGAAATATTGAAAAAATTATGAGTAAGTATTTTATTCTGATATTTCATAGTCATTCGAAATTTGTTAATGAATGTAAAACCGATAAAGATTGGCATTTTCTCTAACGATTTTCCAGTAATGTTCACGCCGACCTTTGAGAAAGTGTTTTCGTTGCGATGAATAAATCTTTATTGTATAACGCATTAACACACAATCCTGCGCGAAGAAGAGAGATAAATTGCATTTGCATGAGTTATGTATTTGTATGCGTGCTGACATTTGTTTAGCTTCATGAAATCAGCTCTCATCCATTCCTTCATAAAAATGAATAATAACAATCACTGACTGGTATCATAAAGTTTGAAATAAGAAACAATAGATATTTTGAAATGTCAGATTGTGATATCTGAATCATTGATTCATTGCTAATTTCATTATCACATGCTGAAACTCAATAGATAAGATAAAGATCAAAGATATTTATGTGATGGAATTGGCCTAAAGTAGTCAAGTAACTCTTTATTGAAAGATTTTCACTGAACACTTCACAAAACCGTCGTTACACTTATTTCATTATACAATAGCTTCCTCAGGCGTATTCATACTAGAGTTAGTATGAATACGCCTGAGAAATATTTTGTTCATCGAAACATGTGTTTTTTTAAGGACAAAATACAAGCACTATAGAAAAATCCTTAAGTCGCTCTAAGAGCGGTGTCTGTGCGACTTTGATTCACATTGAATTTCGAACGCTGGAGATTAAAGCCATTTGAAGAAACATTCTCAGGAAGTTAATTCCACACAAACGCAGTTCTCCAAATGGAAGATTCCTGAATCAGTGAAACTCGAGGTGTACGGAGTTAAACCTCAAACGATGAGTAGCCACAGTACCGCTCTTGGTGGAATCAAATATGTCAAGTCACTTGACTTTCCGTGAAAGTGTCTATAGAAGAGAGACAAATTCCAAATTTCATCATTGAATATACAAAGATGATAGAGTCAATGACGTGCTCTTGTTACTCGTAATAGGTATCTGAAATAACAAAATGTTACCTGAATTATCAATAGCAAAATTACCAACTCTTTATCCAGGAATACCATTTGTGGATTGCTTCAACTACCAATAGATTTTAAATTAGTTGTCGAAATTCACAAATTTAAAAGGGAAGAGCTGCATAGTTCTAGTTAGTCATTGAGGATTTTGAAGTAGGGGTTTTTATACAATATATTCATTTCCAATGCTTCCAACAAATCTACCTCCCTTCCTTTACTACACATATAGAGAATTTTCATGTTTATTGTGTGATTTGTTTCTTGTAGATGTCTATAAATTGCTAATTTATAATCTGATAATACATACTCACGGTATCTTATGTTGAATTTTCTGCCTGTCTGGCCTGTATAAGCTGCTGAACAGTCACCACACTCTAGTCTATATATGCTCGATTTTTTCCTTTTGGATTTTGCGATGAATAACATGTTCCCTAAATTATTCTTACTACTAAATGATGATTATATTAACTACCTCACAACTACCTCAAATCAAATAACAAGGACTAGTAGGATTGCATGTATGTTTGGTGTCTAATTGGTAATATCCAATCGGTGTCTAAATCAAGACCAAGGGATTCGATTCAACAGGAAATTTGTGATTTTGTTGGTGCAAACTATTAAGATTACATTGCGTAATATGGATGGTATTTCCTACGTTTTCCGGAATGAAACACTACCAAAGAAGGCGAGGAATCTAACCTAATCTTGCAACAAATTGAGTATCTATCTTCCTATATCAGGATCATGACAATGATTACACCGAAAAATGTATTTTTATTAACAAATAGATGAAGATAATATGTTTAATAGTGCTCAAATCATTTCTGAGCTTCTTTTAAAGCACTTTCGAAGTCCTCCTCTTCTGATTCAAGAAATTGATTGTTGTGTGGTATGAAGTACATGTAAAAAATTGTTGATCAGAAACAAACTTGTGTTAAAAAGTTCAGGCAAAGTTTTGTCAAAATACAATTTTTGCAGGAATGCAATTAATGTGGTTTCACCGATACTAGCGATTGGTGGGACATACTGTCTTGCAGCCACACTTGTAGAGTTCTTGCGTCGCACTCCAGATGAGTCGGACCACTGCGCTCCCATGCATTGTTCTAGTGAACCCTTTCCTACTTAGGATTGCTTCAACTACCAATACCTGAATTACCTGAAGAATCGAGCTTTGAACCATGTAATGATCGGGCTCAGGCCTGTCCTGTCTGCCAATTATTACGCTCTACATGTTTGATGAACGAAATCATGTTGAAGGACCATTCTGTATTGGGCGATTGAGATTCGAAAACATGTATTTCCTTGCCAATGCGCAAGTCTGGTTTTCTCATCCTTTCTGTGGTCTAGGCATTGAAGAAAGAGGGCTATCCTTTGCTACAGAAGAACGACACTGTATCGAATCTGATCAGACCGTGAAACCCACACAGAGACACGGACTTTGGATCTCCAAGTGCTGCAGCCATACTATATACCGGAATGAATCTCCTGTGTTTTTCTATGCGGTAGAGAATCCACACCTCTTCCAGACTGGCATCCTTCAAAGCAGAAAAATAAGACACGGCCAAGAAAACAACGTTAGCTTCATAGTCAAGAACGACTACCGTCTTCATCCCCGCAGATACCATGTCCATTGTATGGAGAGTAAGTGTTTCATCTGTCTCTTCCAATCATTCATTTCGCAGTGGAGAAAATGGATCCTAATTCAGTTGATGACAGAACTGATTGCCTGCTCATTTTTATTCTCACCGTTTTTCAAGTAGTCGTCCCAATTGACGAATGATTTATCTGAGGGAAAATTAGGGAGGAATGATTATAAATAAACTACGTCCTGCCACTTGGAAGTGAATTCTCCATGAAACATATATCAGAACCTATCTTTGATTAGTAGATCCTGAGGCCTGATACCAGCATCTATTTTCTCTCGAGTATAACCTTTGACACTGATAAAGAGGGACAAACCCCAAGCAACGTTAGATCGCTGTACATGAAATGAAGAAAAGATATTCTTGATGTGAGTATCCAGATGGGAACTACACTCGTCACGCCGTGAGACTTGTCGTCTTACAGCGTGTGAGGAAATTCATTTCGGTTCGGCATCAGGTCTTTCAGTAATTCAGCAAGTTTTGCCTTGTTTCCACTTCTCATTGATCCGTTGATAGAATAGCAGGGAGTGTAGTTTGCTACAACCAGCTACTCAAATTTTTCGCGAGAACTAGCTCGAAAGGTTATTTCTACATGAACCATATGGTATCATTCAATTACACCTTCATTCGTATTATTCAAGCATTATTCATTTATCATCATTGTATGGCGTGTTTCGCCATACAGTAGCTTCTTCGGGCGTGTCTTTACTCTGGTGTACTGTTATTATACTAATTGATAGACATTTTTATAAAAAAGCAATGCTAAAATGAATTTTTCCATATAAATATATACATATTGTCAAACAATATGAATAGTTAGGCCCTTGCTTCAAAAGATTTCGGATTGACGTCATTTTAGCTAAATTCAATTGGAATAACTAAGATAATTGGGAAAACAATGACAAGATAATTGGGAAAACAATGACAAGATAATTGGGAAAACAATGACAAGATCCTCGTGATCAAAATGTTTTTTGAGATGGGTTTAAGTAACCAACTTTCATATTTTGGATGGTTTCCTGGTTTTGCCGTGGTCTTCTTTGGTTATAATCTCCAAACGTCAATTGAAACTTTCCCCAAATGAACGAGAAACCTCAAATATGGTAATTTGGGCAAGCTCAGCGAGAATACTAGCAAAAGTATGACGATACGCAGTGAAAACCCAACATCTCATAGTTGGGATCGAACCAACATCACAATGGCGGGGTTTTTATGAGTGGACGCTTATGAGCAATGATGATATTGATGTCATTGGTAAAACCACTTATTGTACTATTTTTCGTTAACAATTGAAACAAACGACCTCTCTTGAATTAACAGTTTCAAAACAGGAAACAATGAATATTTATTAAAGTGAATGTGAATATTTTAGCAACTCTCAATATTTTTCACGCATGAATGAAACTCAAATATTTCCTAATTATTCTCACGAATACTCATCGAATTGGTTTTTAGTATCTGCGGGCAATGCAATAAATTAGAAGTAATAAGTCCTTCACTTTTCAATTCATGACAAAATCATATTCTGTTTGTTTAAGGTGTTCACTTATACGATCATCACCTTGACTGTAATTATATGCCAAAAAGATAGCGATGAGGGAAGACCGTACGAGTTTGGATTCACAATAGATGGGCAACAACACAGGCATGAAAAAAAAGGTGAGGTCCAAAAATTTATTACGTAAAAAATACGTATAATCCTAATTTTGATGTGGCAATATACAGTGTGACACATATGAAATAGAAGCGCCTTTATACAGGCTGATTCACGGTGGATGGCACATTAGACGTTTCTGGTGAACCAGACAACGGATCACTTTGAAAATTTAATGGAGGGCATATTCGGACATTCTCTAGCCAACTAAAATATTTTCATGGGCAGCGTAGTAATGAATAATTTTCAAGTAGCTGTGCCATTGGCGTTAGGTGTACCTAATTGAGTTGTTCAAAGTGTTGTTGTATAATTTTATATGACAAATCTCGAAAGACTTTTTATAGTTGTATGTATACGGCGAGTAACAAAAATATGGAAAATGAGAAGTAACACTTTTTATGTTTTTTGACCACTTGTATTTGCAACTCACATTACTGCAATTTCCTCCTATAAGGATATTTTCTTATAGGACGAAACTGCAGTGACGTTGGTTACAAAAACATAGAAAGTTTTATTTCTCATTTTTCATGATGATCTCCTACTAGTAATGTATTAAAAATATGGAACAATCGCATTAATTATTGACAGTTGCTTTAATTAAACACCCAAGATTGTTTTTACTTTTGATTTTTTACTACAATCCTCAAAACTTTCTATGAAAAGCACTTTTCACTATATCATATACATGCACAGCTCACCTGATTAATCAGGCACACCGGAGATATTTTCAATTAATCAGGTAATTCATTACCTTAAGAATATGATGTTGTGATTCACTGTTCGGAACCTTCGGTGTGGTACTGAATATTACTGAAACTTTATCCCAACACCAAACCGACACGTGTTTCCATCACCAAGTGATCATCTTCATTTATATCATAGATACCTATTCTAGGTGCCTACGACTCGAGTGTCTTAAAATTAATTTCACAATATTGCCTTATCTACTATTCAGGTTAATCTGATGATGTTCCTCTTGAAGATGATCAGGTACTTGGTGATTGGAACACGTGTCAAGGTGTTAAAAATAACGGTTTGGTGTTGGGATAGGACTCCAGTAATATTCATCACCATAGATACCTCTGCTAGGTACCTGAGTCTTAATTGTCTTGAAATTAATTTCACAATCTTGCCTTATCTACTAGTCAGCTAAATCTAATAACTAAAAATATATTATTATTTCAACAAGCTGTATAGTGAACTATTAGGTATTGATCCACCATCGTTATTCGTAATATTATTATGTTGAATTATTTCCAAGTTAACAGCAACAGGCATCTAGATGCCTATTGCTGTTAACTTGTCTAGCTAATCTTAATGAGCTAAAGTCTATAGAATGGTTTTGTTGCAAAACATTATGGGCGACTGCTGATTTTTCTGGTCTTCCATATTTTAGGTATGCTAAGTGTTCCTTGTATCTTATTTCAACAGATCTTTTAGTGTGTCCGTAATATTTTGCATTGCAGTCCTTACATTTAATTAGGTTAATTCTAGACTTTTCCGATTTCCCGACTTCGTCCTTTAGATTTCCTGAAAGGCTCTGTAGTGTATGACTTGTTTAAAATACCACCTTCATACCTTCATACAAAGTTCTTCGTGTATTGGTGGTATGGAACTGAGATATATTCATCTTACTTTTCGTCGTTTCTGAAAATTTGAAACAATCAACCTCCAACCAGGATATTCGATGAAGATTTATCGGATTTAACTGATGATAACACACCATAATTTTTGCTTGTATCTAATATCTCCTCAAAGAAGCATAATTATTTATCGTCATGTACATTATTTAGATTGAAATTTTATAACAATATTATTTGGATATATCAATTGGTAGGACGGTAGCCCGTTGGGTTGACGTGAGTTGCTCTACTCACTCAATCGACATCTGTGTGAACCGATGGTTCGAACCGCAAAGCCGAACGATCTATTTTCACTTTCTATCGCTCAACCCGTGCTAGGAATTACACGTTAATAGGTAAGACCTCGTTAATCCTTAGCTCGAATAAGTTTTCACTTTTGATAGTTGTCGTTCGTTGGGGGACGACAGCTAATATGGTTTGGTTGGTTCACCCAAATATGACAATGTCATATAACTGACGTTATCGCATCTTGAATTCGGGTATTCGGGAATTCGGCAAGTCCATGGCTTGCTTTTGCAGTTTTTTTGAAAAAAATGGAGTCATTAAGATCTACCTTATAATCCTTGTTAACCGCGATTTGTTTGATCAAATTCAGCTCTCTCTGGAAATTACTCTCAGACAGTGGAATATTCAGTAGTCTGTGAAGCATACTGTTGAATGCAGCAACTTTATGGTGGTGAGGGTGTGTGGAGGAATTATGTATGATGATATTGTACGATGTTTTGTGGAAAATTACAAATTCATGTTTATTGTTATTTTTCGTAATGGTTAAGTCAAGGAAATTTATTGAATTTTTTACCTCCCTCTGAGTGGTGAATTTTATTGGCGGGTGGATGGAATTGGCACATTCAATGAACTTGCCTAATTGCATATCTGTGCTAGTGATACAGGCTAAGATATCATCTATGTATCTGTACCGGTACAAAAAACTGTTTGTTAAATATTTATTACGGATTTCATACCTTATGTTATCCATGAAAATTTCCGCCAGCAATGGACTCAAAGGGTCCCCCATTATTAGTCCTTCATTGCATGAATAGAATTTTTCGTCAAACTGGAAATAATTTTGAAATAGACAAATAGTAAGTAATCTAAAGTTTCCTGTTTCATTGTTGGATTTACGTGGTTTTTGTCTAAGAGACACTCAACTAGTCCCATTGTTTCAATTGGCGGAATATTGGGAAATAAATTTTGGACATCGAACGATATTAATTTTGCGTTCAGGAAGATTTACATTTTTAATATCATCCACTAATTGATAAGAATTATTTATACTGAATTTCGGCTTGAATTGGGTATAGGTTTGAATCAGTTTTATCAGGATTTCTGATATTTTTACGGTAGGTACCGTTACAAACGACACCACTGGTCTAATCAGGAAATTGGTTTTGTGTAATTTAATAAGAGAATACATTTTCGGTGGTTGTGGATTCATGTTCAATGCTCTACATTTATTCTTCCCATTCATAACCAATTAAATTGTTTTAAGGGTTTTTTAACCTTTTTCTGGTACATAGTTGTAGGATCATTCCTCAGAACCTCGTAGCTATCTGTAGTCCTTTTTATGTAATGCAAATACCGTTCGACCTTCATCTTCTCTCGTAAAAATCACTTCATTATCTTTAGCTTTTTGCTTAATTGATTTTGCAATTTTACTTTCTCCATTAGACTGAATTTGATCAACAGGTTCAGATTTCAAAATATTTACCACAACATGTTTATTATATTTCACTAGTTCGGACTTCCATTGTCTATTATATAAAATGATTTGAAATCCCTGAAACAAGTAAAAAAGAATAATTAAAAAAGAATAGTTGAAAATAACAATTATATTAAGATTCATCCATTTGTTTCTTCCATAATTGGTTCCTTCTTGGGCTACTCTACTTTTATTGTTGGTCTTTAGGGCGGTAAATTTGGGGTATATTCCGTTTTTTATACATTGGTTGAAAAACCATATGTTTTGTGTCATTAAAACACATCGTAGAATGAGTTTAAAACACCAAATGGCCAAAAAGCCGTAGGGGCTTTCTTAAGATATATGGTGGAATTGGCCGATACTTGGTCAAAATCCATAACTAACGTATTCAAAAAACACTTTATTGTGAGATTTTCACTAAACAGTTTCACAAAAATGCAACACGTGTTTCGCCATACAATGGCTTCTTCGGGCATAATGGAGAACCCTTTGAGTCCCTTGCTGGCGGAAATTTTCATGGATAACATAGAATATGAAATCCATAATAATCAGTTAACTAACAGTTTTTTGTACTGGTACATATATGTAGATGATATCTTAGTCTGTTTACTGGTACAGATAGGCAATTAGGCAAGTTCATTGAATATGCCAATTCCATCGGCCCGTCTATAAAAGTCACCACTGAGAGGGTGGTAAATAATTCAATAAATTTCCTTGACTCAACCATTACGAAAAATAACAATAAACATGAATTTGCAATTTTCCACAAACCATCTTACTCGGACATTATCATACATAATTCCTCCACATACCCCCACCAGCATAAAGTTGCTGCATTCAATAGTATGCTCGATTATAAGGTAGATATTATAAACTCCATTCTTTCCAAAAAACTACAAAAGCCAGCCATGTACTGGCTCTACCCAAATTCAAGATGCGATAACGTAAGTTATAGGACATTGTCATTGGGTAAACAAACCAATGATATTGTCCGTTTTTTGAAGAAAGAATGCGTAAACAAAGCTTACAGAACAACTATTAATCTAAGTAAATTTATTAAAAACAATAAAGACAAAACTTCGGTGTCTGACAGATCAGGAGTATATAAGCTGACTTGTGGCTTTTGTCCAAAACTATATATTGGCCAAACAGGAAGAACATTTTCCCAAAGAATTAAAGAGCATAGAAGTAGTTTTGTAAATAGAAAGACCAATTCCACGTGTTGCGTTTTTGTAAAACTGAAGAGGTAGAAATTTGAAGTAATTTTTTCGTTAAAACTATTTTAATTATGATTGTAGTTGGGATTTTCAGAATATTCATGACATGAGTGGCGCTAGCGTTTGGGGAAAGTTATTCGAATTCAAGGTCAAATCCAGTTCAAAGTGTCGGCTATTTTCATATTTAATATTTCGACAAAAAATACTTCAAAACTCTTACTGTTTGAGATATCTGTGGACAACATCAATTATTTGAAGGGATAAAAAATCAATCATGTTTCCTCTTGCCAATCAACCCTTTTAAAATAAAACCAAAGTTTTGAGTTGTTTTCACAAATCCTTGTGGTTTCTTGTGCTGATCAATAACTAAAATAATTCATTCTATTTAATCACCGGTTTATCAGCTAAATAATAATTTCTCTCATAAATTCACAATTAAACAACTC